AACTGTTCAAGCATGATGGTAATAGTTATACTCTCTCGCTCAGACAGATTTGGAAGGAAAGAGCTCTACCTGATTTTTTTTTTTGCATGAGAGACTAGCAAAGAGTGTATTTTGACAATTGATAAGCTAAGGAGAAGAGACAAAGTTTTGGTAAATGCGTGTTATTTTTGTAGGAGGGCGGAGGAGACCTGTAGCCATGTTTTGCTCTAATGTCTAGTGGTCTACAAACTTTGGACCATGGTCTATAGCCTATTAGGAATCAACTAAATGATGATAGATTCAATGAGAGATGAAATTTGGGTATGGAAGGATATGGCTGGAAGGAGGAAACAAGAGGAGCTAATTCAACTTACCATCTTTTGGGTTGTGTAGAAGGAGGGTAACAAAATGGCGTTTGATGGGGTTGATAATGTAGATGGTTTTAACTCACTCAAGAATAGATGGTGCAGACCCTTAGTTTTTTGTTATTGGTCATCCTCTTCATTCAAATGAGGATTTAGGGAATTTTATTGACACTTTGATTGAATTGTAAATCTTTATACATGGGCAGATACCCCTTTGTGCCAATATTAATGTATACTACACACTTTTTTATTTCAAAAAAAAAAAAATTCCATTGCCAAGATGTGCCTCCTTGATTGTTATATCATTGTCTCGGGCTATGTCAAAAATTGATGGAAATTTCAACCAAGGAGCCTCCCTTCCTTTACTATAATATCCTTATTATGATAGATTTGATAAATATCAATGCAATAATCCGAAGACTAACCTTAATTTGTCCAATTGGAATATATTGAAATTCCTTTGATTTGCATATAGCTACCAATTCGACATAGATCCTTGACATTTCACTAAATGGACTTTGTTAGAAGTTCACTTCAGTCACTAAGCTTGCCTTGGGCGTCCCTCTTCCTTGAGGTTAAGGTAACAAATCCAAGCATGATCAGCTCTCCATTGTTTGATGGGAAGTCTGTGCAAGGTCCTTGAACAAATTTAATAGTATGGCTGACCTAGTGATTTCTAACGATTTTGGCTTCATGTAGGCAAGAGACGGCCTACAATTTGAATTAAAGGGTGTTTACTCTTATGGGATTGTGATCCTTTGTCCCAATCATTATATTATCTGTGTCTAGGGCATAAGAGACGTGATGACTTGATGTCATTCGCACATTCTTCTAGCGTTTTATTGGCAATCTGCTCAGGTTTCCAAACTTTCCTTTAGCAACTAAACACAAGTTGTGTCAATTGCGGGATTTAACCCAACACCTTATTTTTGGAAACCAAAAGAAAGAATATAATTTTTTTGAGGAACTAAGAGAATTTTTCTTTTGCTAGAAAGAATTACTTGACACCCGCACTTCAAAAATATAATGATTTTTTATAGGATTTGATGATTTCTAAGATCGTGTTCATAATTCTAACTTAACTATATATTGTCTATTGTAATCATTTGATTTGTTATGTGTTGACAATAATAAAGAAAATAATATATTAAGGTGATAAATGGAGCGCAATAGTAAAGAAGTAGCCATTCAAAGAGTAACTAGGCAAACTTAGTCGCTTTTTCGTGTTCTGATTTAGCACTTTCGATTTTTTGATTATTCTCAAATTAGAAGATTATTGGTTTAACCAAATATCTGTCAATCCAATCACAACTTTTTTATAATAAGAATAAGAGATCTTTCTCAGTCAATTTCTTTGCTCCTCATTTTTCAAAAATCAGAAAAATACTTCAAGTTTGAATATGTCCATTTGAAATATTGGTTTAATTGATCTTTAGCAATACATGGCTGGATTGGTTATTTGGGTCTCTAGAAGTACATTTTATGAAATCTTTAGAAACAAAGGAAAGGCACAAGTGCTTCATTTATTACAAAGTAATGATGAATATTAGACTATAGTGGTTGGTCTGTTCTAAAACCATTTCTCTCC